TTGTGCTGCTCAGCACCAGAAACCCGTGGAAACTGTTGGAGAAAAATGACCAAGACTAGCTTCGGGGCATTTCGTTCGAACCCATACTGCTATGGAGACCTACCAAATCATTGAGGAGTAAGGCTTGTGGACCATACCTCACTAGTCATATTCTCCTGACATAGTCCCCTACGGCTGTTATCTGTTCCACCCTTCAGGGCTTTTTGGCTAAGAAACCGTCGGCAAGTTCGGTGACACCAGACAAGAGGTCGTCGTCTTGTTGACTCGCAGCTCCGCTGCCTCCCTCTTCTGGGAGAAGGGAATCGCTGACCTGCCCATTAGGTGGACCACTGCAATAGCGAGTATATTGTTGATTAATTTCTATCCTATGTTGAGCTAGAAATTAGAAACGAAAAAAATCGCAACAGTAACAGGACTTTCTTTCCAGCCTTATAGTTTCGTAGAGAATACATGGTCTCCAACAAGCCTAAGCCTTGATTGTGTGAGAGAATACGAAAGCATTGACCGGTCCTATTCCTATGTACGTTAGCTCCCCTGATTCAAGTGAAACCCAGGATGAAATCTCACTGTACATCAGAGATACTGAAAATCCATGAAAAGAGGGTGTTTGGGGTATGATATTCCTTTGTTGTCCTTCAGATATTCAGCTGTCCCGGTCATAAAGGATTTGGCGTTCGGGCACTGCGAGAGATTCCAAAAGGAGTGTTCATTTGTGAATATGCTGGAGAAGTTTTGAATAAAGACGAAGTCGAACGGAGAGCAGTTTCCACTCATGATCATAACTATACTTTAACTATCAGAGAACATGGAGAAGGTATGTTTTTTTCAGTCGTATTTGAAGCACTATTGGCTATGACGAATAGCTTGTAGAATTGGGAGTCGACTTTTTTTGATCGATTTTGATTGCTTTAGAGGGTATTGTGACGACCTTCTTTGATCCGCGACATCGAGGCAACTTGGCTCGCTTCATTAATCACGCTTGTGAACCCAATCTTTCTATAGTGATTGTACGAATTGGTTATACTGTGCCGCACGTGGGGTTGTTTTCAAACAGGTAGGCACATTATTCTAGTTCAGCAGTTACTTGTACTCTCTAAACAAGAGACTTATGCAAAAGCTCAGGTATCTTTCTCTATTTGAAGAGGAAGAAGGGCGAGCGTGGTGTAATGGCAGGTGGCCCGATCACCACTCACCACCACTCACGGTGCCCTGTGGTAAACTGTTACATCGGCTTCCGCGAAGACCAACCAAGCCTTTACCCTCCCGGGATGGTAAATTGGCAGCAGATTTTTCTGAGAATATAACAGCACTAGCTTACGATTACCCTTCTCGAGAAGAGGTACACTCTAGTTTGCTGCGGGCGGCTGGGCGTGTCAGGCAGACGAGTGTGTTTTCTCTGCCTTCTTGTTAAAGCGCGCATGCCTCGAAAAGTAGTAGAAAACGAGTAATACGAACGATATGATACAGTCATATGATTTGTCCGCTTCAAGAACTGGTGGAGAACGGATTTGGCACCGCGCCAAACTCATCCCGCCTGACGCACCCAACCGTCCGCAGCGATCTACACTATGTATCAGTGGGCAGACGCTTTACCCATGGATCCCAAATCGTTTATAACGAAATCGTCGTTTTATTTAGGGTAATCCAAGCAGGAGAAGAAATTTGCTATGATTATGGTACATCGGCGTTGTCGCTAGAAAGCGGAAAAGAATGTCTCTGCGGATTTCCATCATGTAGAAAAGTTTCTGCCAATGTCAACTACCGCCTCTGAATAAAGGATTGAGTTTCTATTCGCCTTTATTTTCATGCAATAAACAGTTTTCAATAACTGTTCCAATGAAGTATTGGTGGTATTGTAGACCACTTCATATTTTTACTCTGTTGTAACTGAATATTTAACATTGAAATGTTACTCATGTTTTGATAAACCGATTAGGTTCTGAATATAAACCATGGGTCGACATAAGAGAATCCCGACGAAGAATCGAAAGAAACTGAAATCAGTTGATCCATTCAACAAGAAGGCACCGGCTCTGAAGGCGGAGGCAATGAGGTTTTTATGTTCCTTCAGTTTTGTTTAGTTAGAAGAATATCTTCAAATATGCTAACGAGGCGCTATTCTAGTGAAGGGGCAACTGAAGAACTTGTGCATAATTTTCCGTAGTACAGAGGCCGCTGCACGAAGAAAATGGTTCGCCTATCTGGAAGCTTCTCCCTCTTCATTCATGGGAAAAACCTGTGAAGAGTCCTGACCCCCCCTTACGCATGTTTGTTGGTGTGGGGTGTTTCTCACTGCTGCTCTTCTGACTACTTCACTGGAATAGTGCCAGCAGGAGTTCTGCTATAATATGTTGCTTTTAAGCAAAATAAAATTGGGAGCCAAAGGATGATGTGCAGCCGGTACCTCGTTCGTTGTTGGAGTTGCAGGTAGGTGCTTATCAAAAGGTGCTACTGTAGCTGAGGAAGAATGTACCCCCCTCAAGGTCCCCCGTCTCGAAAGCAGGCTTGTGGACTCGGGTCGCAGAGCTTCTCTAGAAAGTCTGAAAGCCGCGTAGCCTTCTCCTTAGTTACAGTACCGCTAATGCAGGTGAGGCCTTTACAACTTTTTTTCTTTCAGCGAAGTAAGGAGGAGGCAGTCCAACGACAAAAAGGAACTGAAGAGGCGGAAACAGCGTAAAAGCAAAGTTCTGGGTGAGTGGGAGCCAAGGGCTCTTTTGAATGCTCGTTCCATTTTCCGAATGTGAAACAGGAATGTGTCCAGGCTTCACGAGCAAGGTCTTCGTCAGATCTGCAAACCGAAAACATAAACCTGTGGAGGAATAGTGTTCACTACTAGGCTACTTTCATACTTTTCGTCGTCCGTCGTTTTGCGCGAAAAGGAAGGTATAGGTAGCGATCTAGCGTTGTGAGCTTTCCGAGCGAAAGGGAAATCGTGGATATTGACCGGCGCTCTAAACGCTCGGAACGTTCAAAAAAACGCTGGCATTTCTCCGAGGAAGCTAGATCGACGCTAAAGTCTCCTTTACTCCCAAAGTGCTCAAAACGTTCGAAACGCTAGCGAAAAGTATGAACGCAGCCTTGTGTCAAGTGATCAAATTTTCCTCCCTCATTTCAGCAGAAGCAGAGAAGATCGGTATTCGGAAAGGTCGTTTCGAAACTATTCCACACTTTGTGCGTCGCGTCGAACGAATGACCTACGCTGCCGTAAAGGATCACGAAATGTTGGTCGGTGACTTTCTGTCATTTGTACCCTCATTTGGGATTTGAGATATAGAAATTGAACTGAGGTGAAAATCTGGCTCGTCCTAGTTCAGTAGTTTCGGGAGCTGACCTTCTTGGGGAAATTTATAGTCCACGCGTTGAGACCCTTAATCTTACCTACTTTTTTGGACATTTACAACATGTTTTAGCGGTTCCAGTGTTTGTAAATTTTGAGCAAGCATAGTTTTTTGACACTTGTGGTTTCCCATGCCACTGCTACACATTCAGGTCAAGCAAGGCTTGGCAGGACGAGATGAATCAGAAATCGCGGCTGATTTCAAGCTGTTGGAAGAAAAGGAGAAAAGAAGAAAAGAGCAAAAGAAAAACGAGATTCAAAACAAGATAAAAGCGGCTCGAGAGAAACGAGAACGTGAGGCTAAAATAAAAGAGGTATGAGATTCAGGATATTCGGTAATTCTGATATGAACTTGGACCATGTTTTCATTTGCAGGAAAGACTAAAAGAGAAAGAAGAGAGGAAAACTAAACGAAAAGCAGAAGCTCTCGGAGATCAGGATATGGTTGAAGTAACACTGGAGAAAGATGAAGTACGTTTTTACTTTCATGGTTAGCTCTTCTGCTGGAATTGGCTTCTTTCTACGATTTTCGGCCAAGATCTACATTTTACTAGTTCCCTTTATGAAAACTTGTTAGGCAATGGCTCTTAGGTGTTCTAGTCTTATGCCGACATTTTAACAGGTCAACTGAAAAAAACTGAATTTGAAGGACTGTTTCAAGCTATAGGCATTACGCTGGTGGAGACTCAGTTCGATTCACAAGAGTTTCAGGGTCGGAGGGGGGGGACTGGGATTCAGAGAATTAGCTAAATGCCCCTCTTAAGCCGGCAGTCACTTTCAAATGACAAGCGCATTCAGGAAGGCGATGACTCGATCAATGCTGAATCGTCTCAAGTAACTGAAGAAGGTGGTGTGCTAAAAAAGAAGAAAAAGAAGTTAGGAGGATCGGATAAGGTTCGCGAAAAGAAGAGGATAGCTGCTGAACAGGCTCGTAATGAAGCAATCCTGAATCAGAGAGGTGAGTTGCTTGGTATTTCATTACGGATTTTCATTTTCATCCACTTCTTCCTCCCTACATATAACATGAATTGTCTGAAGTTGATCAGTCTCTTGTGAGCGCGGTAATCATACGACTCTCTCTGCACAGTTGTGGGGTTGTGTGTCGTTTCTTTGTAAGACCAGCTGAATGACTTGGTAGGACAGTCCCCGGTGTTTTCTCTTCACGCAGAGGAGTTGCTCAAATGAAAGGATCGAAGGCAACGAATATACTATCACGGTGGAATGACTGCTGAATTTGCAAAAGCTCTATTTGGTTCTTACAACATAGTGCTCGAAGGGAGTCCGAATGGGGTGTGTACAATATTAGGGAGTTATGGGAGTTTTGATGGGGTAAATAGTGATAGCAAAATTGTAACTGTCTTGAGAAGAAAGTTTTTCTGGTAGGAGGTACAGCCTTGTTCGTTGCGGATAATGGAACGTGTTCACCTGTATCACAGTGCTCCCCTTGATCATCGAGTGCCTCGAGCGGGCGCTGGTATTCGTCACTGCAAATTGGTAGGGCTTTGATCCGATGGGTTGTCTCTGCTCCGGGGACATGATGAACTTCATACCATTCGTTCGGAGCTCTCAGTCTTACCATCGCCTAGGCGGTCGTCCAGGTGTTCGCTTTACATCCCGTGGAATCCAGTCGGTAACTGCTCTGGTCCAGCGGTTATCTTCGAGCGCATGACGTGCCCGGTCCACATGATCTTCGATCGTCAGCGGAGTGCGGAGCTCTGGATTCCCTGGTAGCGGAAAACCCCGAGCATGGCCCTTTCGATGGCGCGTTGTATACGCTCATCGACTCTTCTGCTTTATCTCCGAAGTCTCCGAGAAGATGGAAGTCTTAATACGCGGCGGCGACGCGTGGCAATCGGATCTTGGCTGTTCTTTCGTCTTCGTACTCCCTTTCGATGTTCTTGAAGGCTCCCCAAGCCGCTCGCTTCCTCCTGCTCAGCTCTGGAGCTAAGTCATTCATCATATTGATTTCACGACCTAGGTACACATAGCTAGAGCATTCAGAGATGGTCGTTCCGAGCGTGAATGGGGCATCAGAAACCAGTCCGTTCCTCAGCAAAGCGGAGATTTTATTGTTGAGATGGTGTAGCGCAGTAGCCGTCGCTCTTCACTTCCAGGTTGAGGGGTGAGAATGGGTTTGGCGCGGCGCGCTTTTTCTTTCGTCGAGTGGCAAGGCTCGTTCGTATGGGTACATTTCCATCACTGCTGGCGCTTACATGCTTCTACTAGTGGCGGAGTATGTCTGGTACCGCTCAAAGCTCAGCCACTCTGACATGCCTTGTCATCCGCAGCGAACAAAATTGTACATTCGGACGTTATATTCACCTTTTTCTTTGCGTATATGTGTTGCTTTGCAGAAGTGATCGCATTTGGTGAACGGTACGATGCACCGCCAGAATTTAAAGGCGCAATGAAGAAGGAAATGAATCCTCTTATGGCTAAGGTATGTGTCTTTCCGGATGTTCTAATTTGTGCAGTTTTGCAGTTTTTAGTTTTTTAAATTGTTCTCAGAAAAAAGCTTTCGAATGTGGATTGAGTTTCGAAATTTCGTTCAGGGTTGCACGGTGTGTCAGACTCACCATATTGTTTCTCAGATTTTGTGAAAGTGAGCAGTCAGAAGTGTTGTTCCCGGGGGTAGAACTTAAATCGATTATTTCTTCCACAGCTGATCACTTTTTAAAATAATTTCAGGGAATCTATCCATTAAAATTTGATTAAGTCGATATTTCAGGCCGGTGCCAAAAAGCTGCTTCTACACTCGCTTCTACAGCAGAATTCAAGCAGTTCGAAAACGAAGTATTTGGAAGATGACAAACGAGAAAAGCCCGGAGAATTGGATCGTCTGCGGGTCATTGAAGCGTATCGAGAAATGAAACGGAAAAGAAGAATGCCGATGGAATGAACTGAGCAGGGTGCTGACTTCATTCTTCCTGGCAGCCTACGCTGAGCGTGAGCTGCTGTGTGGGCTGGATCTCTTCACATGGAACTTAGCCTTTATCGAAGGAATTTCGAATCGCAGAGATTCCTTCAATACTACTCCCTTATTTGTATTATTATGATGGTTTTTTCTTGTTATATTGTGGCTTGTGAGGTGGTGTCCGAACACTTTTTTCGGTGTAGCTACTTTTGTGCTCAGCTTGCTACCAATTCCAGGCGATGCAGCGTGAGCTGCCGCGCGCTTTGGCCATCGCTATCAACCCTGGCTCTGAATTGCTGGCGGCGCTTTCGTATTTTACAGTAATTGGTCATTGAGAACAATTCCACTCCACCATGTCTTCAGCGAGACCTCGTCGGTCTAAAAGTCCGATTTCATCTACCCGCTCACCTGCAGCTAGGTACAGTTGGTATAAGCCTTTGGATTGATTAGTAATCCTTAGTAGGCGGAATAACGGCGTTCATTGAGCTTTGTTGATTACAGGATTCGCTCATGTTGCGCGCCAGAGATAGACGCCGGTATGAGTCATATTGGTTCGTCCCCTGTCGCCGCCAGCCGCTCGTCCGGGATTACGTGACATCTGAACTTTTGCGCATGGTCCTGTTACGAAACCCTGTGACGCAGACGGGTAGAGGGCAGCGGCTGCCAAAGCATCGAAACGTGCAAAAAACGTATGGCGAGCCAGGAAACGGGATTTTTCAAGGGGAGGGGACTCCGGGGTGGGTGAGCTACTTATAGTCGGTGAAAAACTGGAGTGAGCGAAGTCACAACGGCCATAGAGTGCCATGCGGACGAGAGAGAGAAAAGAGAAGATCGACGCGTGCTCGTGCTAAAGGCATTGCTTCACAGAAAAGCAGTAGATGTGTATCGATTTCGCTGGCGAAAAACGCCACCACGATGGAGCTAGCGTTATGTCGAAGCCAGTTGAAAAAACGTCGCCGGTTGGCGAAACGTCTCGTATACGTACCAAAACCCCCCCCCAGGCTCTTCGCCCAACCGCCAGTCGATATGTATCGAAAGCTTTTCGCCGAACCGCCGCGTTTCAGAGAAACGCTGGACCGCAGAGTGTGAACAATGCCTAATGCCGCTTGGCGAGCAGGCTTTCCCAAGCATGCCTGTCTTCGCATTCGCTACAGTACCCCGCAATTTTTCCAATGACATAGCGTGGCTTTCCCTTCAACATAGGTGTAGCTGTACTACGTCACGAAATTCCTTCATTGCTAAAGCAGTAACGCAGCCGGCTAATCTGGAAAGTATTCTGCAGCTAATCCAAGGTCGGCATGTCAAAAGGACGCCTGGTAAGAGCAAGACTTCCGAAACTTGTAGCTGCTGCAAATACACTGCAGTTCCACACGACTGATGGTGGACAGTGCAGGTGGGAGCAGTACTTCATGACGCATCACAACACCCAACCAGAGGCTCAGGAATCTTCACAATATCAAAGCAGCACAATACGAACATCTATCATCCTGTGTAACTGCTCGCAGTACCTCTTTCTCAACGATCAACAATGCACTAAATCAAGCTACCTCTATGAGTAAGGCACCCGCGACATTGCTCCACAATTGCCTACCTCACACGGTCATAGGCCTGGGATTCTATCCCTTAGGATTTACCCAGTCCAGATGTAGTACGCCGAATAACACCCAATCTTCATTATAATAGTCCCTATGTAGGGAACGAGGTGAATACGGCGACGGCGTGCCGGCAGCGGCGAGGCGACAGGGTGCTTGTCGTAGATCACAAGGGGCTGGCGGGGCAAGAGACGAACCATATGACTCATACCGGCGTCTATCTCTGGCGCGCAACGTGAGCGAATCCTGTAATCAACAAAGCCCTATGGACGCCGTTATTCCGCCTGCTAACCAAGTCTTCAATTACTTATCAACCCACAGGCTTACATCACACCAATTGACCCGAATACGTCCGTCCTTTAGTTTCACCGCAACCATCAGGTCGGTTGAAGGGATGGACTGGCCGCACCTGTAGCGTTTCCAGCACTGGCTTTTTTTTCTTTCCAAATTGACACTACCCGATCAACATTGGTAGAGCAAGGCCGCCGGAGCCGGCCCCATCCCGCCCTTCTCACACCGCCTCCGACTGACTGCGATGTTACGAACTTTCTTTCATATCCTGAAGAAAAAAGGATTGAGCGTTGACCAAGGAACGGAGAGGAGGGAGGATGAAATGCTGAAAGTTTTTCCAAAATCAGTAATTTAGACCTAGCATGTCTCCTTCGGCTCAGGTATGACTCCCCTGAAGGGGGGGGGGGGGGATTCCTCAGTCCCCACATGCTTGATTCTTTCGCTCCTTCTGTGTGTAGAGAACCCATGACTTTTTGCTGAATACGTTCTTTCATTCCCGATCAAATATAGCAGTTTGCTGAGTCTTGAGTAAAAGTGAGTGAGCGCGTAGAAAAGCTCTTATTTGTCATTCTGTTGTTCAGTTTCACGTTACCGTGGGGCGCACGCGATATACCATTCTACATCGTTATATTGTACGGCTTTCTTTCATATTGTTGTTGTTTGAATTGTTAGTTTCTGGTTTTTGTTGGCAGTCTGTGGTGTTTTTTTCAAAGAGGCTATGAAAATCGTTTAGAAGGATTTTATTTCTGCACTGTTATGTTGCTGTGTGATATGGAAAGTCCGGGGCAGCTCGGCGACGGGAGGTGGGGACATTTTGCTTATTCGCTACTTCCCATGAACGTGTCGACCCACCTAAAGCGCCTTTTCATGAGCTGACAGGTTTTACCTGAGCTTGCTCCAGCTTCACATAAGTGCACAGGTTCCACCAGAACTAGTGAAGCAGCCAAAGTGCAAAATGCCCCCTCCCCTCGCCGAACTGCGCCGAAGATTCTAATAAAGCAAAGTTGACTATGTTATGTAACTCACTAGGACAAAAAGTTCTTAAGTAGAGTTGATCTCCCACTGGCTGGAGAATGTCACGGAAAAACAGCAGGGCTGACCGCATCCCGGTCTATACAAGTGGTAGTTGGCCCTGCTTTCGAACAATTAAGATACTTTCTTTCCTCGAACTTGTTTTGTTATGATAACTGCTGTTTAAGCCGCAATTCATACCCCCTAAAGTAGTCGCGTATGCTAAGAAGTTGTGAGCAAAATTCTAGACCAGCGGCGATTGAACCGCGCCTCGGAGAGTGCGCTGTCAATTACGCGACCGAAACTGCCTCCCAGTCCGAGATTAATGGCGTGAAAGCCTCAGCGTTGGGACTTTTGCCATAACTCAGCATTCTTGTGTTAAATTTTTCGGCTCTGTTTGGTTTGGAGACGGCACTTTCGCTAGTGTTTCTGCCTTTTCTCCCTCTTTTCCCCCCTTCCTCCCTCTTTTCCTTCCCTTCCTCCTTCCTTTTCTTGCCTCCGCTCCTCCCCCCTTTCTTCCCCCTTCCCGATTTCTCTCCTTCCCTTTTCCCCCTTTTCTCTCCCCCCCCATTCGATAGTTCCCTTTATCTGATAGGGCTTTAATCAGGCCTGTGAACTCCTATAATGCTGCGAAGCTGCTAGTCACTTCGATCACAGAACTTTACGGTTCGGTCTGTACGAGCTTATACTCGAAATCTGTAAAGCGTGGGCGTGGCCGCGTACTTCAATAAAACTTGGCGGTGGCTGTGTTTTCGGAGAGATATTTTCACTTTCCCATAGTTGTGGTTGTGTCTCTGTCCAACACAGAACAAGATGACAGCTGTTTAAAATTGAAATATCCCACTAACCACTTCTGTGCCATGTTCAAATGCCACGCCTACTCCTTCTAAAGGATAGTAGCTAGCTGATTCCCCACCAAGTCTAACTGCACCATTCTTTCATCCTACTCAAATTTTTTTCTTGAATGCAGCTTTTTAAGATGCGCTACTCCAGTTTTTATGGCATTCGCGCGCGCTAGGAACACGTCTAGTGATTACTCAGTTGCGGTGATATGGTTACCACTACCCTCCCTCAGCCATGCGACGCGCGGAGGTGCAGAGACGCCTTGGTCGCGTCTCGCCATCGTGGCGCCACAATGCCATCAACCAGAGACATTCCATTGTCAACATCACTGTCGCTGCGGTGTTCTTGCGATGAGTGCGTGCCTTTATCGTTGGTCACATTTCGGCACAAAATATTCCGTTTTCGGCTAGATATGCTCCGATGATATTCGCATTTCCTTTAGCTATTCTCACACTCCTTGAAGGCTTTTCAGAAGCGGCTCCTTCAGGTGATGTTTCAGGAACACTTTGAGGTAAACTGACTTCTTGATGAGAATATAATCAATATCGGCGTGTGCGCTGGTGCAGTCAGCGAGCGACAACTGAGGCCAAAAGAAGGATTCACCCTGAAAAGAATTTTCGTAGATTGCTGATGTATTCTCTAAATATTATTTCTATGTTAATGGGCGTTGTTTTATACTAGTAGTTGAATATCGGGCCCATTCCTTTCATAGCCTTCACACCTGCAAGTATAAAGCAGACGGTTGGAAATCTCATGAACTATGCAAATGCAAAAAAATACATAGCGAAAGCATCGCGTGACAGCCCACCGTCCGCGGCGCGACAGGCCGACCTCTCGTGGTCCTAACCGTTTTCCCCCCAGATATTGTACTTAAGTATCTTTGGAATGGCTCAACTGGGTAAAAGGCACTCCGCCGATTCAAGCATAGAAGTTGGAAAATATGCCGTCAGGAGGGTAGAGTTGTCCGCGGCGAACGACCCTGTACCGGTTTTTCGGCAAAAAGTTGTAAAGGATGGTCGTTACAGCGCAATATGAGCTCAGTGACGCCTCCTTTTTTCATTGACTCCGACCTCCAGGCCTCACTTCAATGCCTGCCTTCAGTGAAAAAACGAGGTGCAGGACGAGAAAGCATGAAAGGGCGAATCGCTGTACGGGGATGATGGGTCATGTTGGAGACAAGAATTAGATTGGGCGCGCACAAACTGGGATCGAATGGTTCTATCTAGGCAGATTGCAGTGCTTTCTCTGCTTTTCTTCACTATCGAAGATATTCAGCACCTTGCCGTCCATAGCAGTAGGGACGTTGGCTAAGAGATGAATCAAAAGTTTGTTTGAGCGTGTCCACGTTCACCTTTATCAGGGCGTTTAAACTGTTTCGAGCTAGGAGTGAGCGTACTTTCTTCGAACACCAGTCCTTCCCTCCCTCTCCCCCCCCCTCCTTCCCCCTTCTCCAGCGATCCAATTGCAATGACGTACTAAGAACTCATCAGAGGATCTCGCAACAACACACGAGATAAGCTTGCCACGATAACATCGTTAATGCAAAAAAAATCCGCTGCCACATACGTCAACCAGTAGCATGTGGGACTTGTTGTACTTCCAACAGCCGTTATTTTCTCTGAAGTAAGTTGATTCAGGAAATCGCAACCTGTTCTGCTTATTTTCGCGGGCTAGTAGCCTGGATGATTGGAAACAGCTTGCGGATGATGTAACGAAAGGCGGAGTGAACGTGACAACGGTATGATTCAATTGCACAGAAATGTGGATTTACAGAAGACTCACGGGTTACCGTACTTCTCGCTTTTGCTCCACGGCTGCACCCCTTGTCTCACCTGGCTGAGCGCAATGTTTGTATCAGAAGGGCGCAAAGTTCACCGCAGTTATGTCATCCCCGCTATGGTGATTGCTGTGCTAAGGGGGGGGGGTGGGGCAAAGCTTCGGCATGGCGAACCAGCTCGTGATATTCCCAATAAGCAATTTCGTTCAAACAGACTAGTTCACCAACACGTGTCCCTCCCTCTCCCTGAACGATTGTACGACGTATCCACGCGCTGCCACATAAACTGCACACAAGACCCTTCACCAAAGCACCGGCTTATCTGCCCGAAAGCAGCCGCGTGTAAATAGGGGAGGGTACTAATAGTAAGATGAGCGCTATTTGAAAGGTTACGGTATCTTTCGATTCAGCTCATTTTTACGGAGAATTTTATCCAATGCCATACATTTTTTTGAGCGCTGATTGGGTTATCGGCGCCTGAAGAAGGATTTCTGACCAGCTTGATCTGCTGATAAACTTTACTTTGGAAAACTTGTGTTAGGTGAAGTAGTACGAATCTTTTCAGGGTTCCTTTCCGGTCACCGCTAACTCTGTTCAGTGCATCGATCCAGAAGCGCATTGTGTCGCCATATGGACCGTTCGTGAAAACAAGTCCGAGATACTTTTGCAAGGTAGGTTAGAGGTTTCTGGCGGCGGCAGGGCGTTGGATCGCGTTCAGCATATTCGCGACTGAAGCCAATCAGTCGCGCGATTTGGGAATTTCGCGGCTGGGCCTGATCGCGCTTTACTGTTAGCCTTTGGACCGCTGCAACTGCGATTCCATTACGGTCAGGACAAAACGTATTTCGAATTTTGCAACGGTCCAACGATTAGCGGTGAGGCGCAGTCGGTTGCAACTCCCACTTGGAGTCGCCGAGTATACGCGCGGCTTTGCGGATTCTTTTCAAAAGGGTAGGAGAATACGCGCAAAGGAAAAAGTGCCGGTATCGAATAGATTAATGGGAAAGATGGTAGAATACGCGAAAGAGACGATGGGGATCTATCGATCTATTCGCTAGCGGGTTGGGAGAATAGGAGGGCAGGTGAAAAGGAGTCGGACGGTGCCTTTCTATTTCTATGGCGCACACTCTCCTGTTCCAAATAAGCCGTTATGATTCCAGAGGTGGTGCCCAGAGGGTTGGTGGTGCCTGTCGCCTACTGCCAACGTTCTCCCAGTTAGTGACGCGTAAATGATAAATCCCGGAGGAAAGTCATGCGTTAAGGATCTCACGGTTGCAGCTCCATTCCGCGTGTAGTTCCTGACACCGCCTCGGCTGATCGCGACAATATCAACTGCACCTTCCTTTGCTGCCCATTTCTCCGATTCTCAAATATTCTACTCTCCCCGGCTGTCAAGTATAATCGCGATCTTAACCTTCCCATTGGTGACTGCGGTGAAACGGCACCCAGCAAGTCAAAACGTCTTCAAAAGCGTTCAAAATAACGTTTAGGTTGCTGGAACGTCGTGCAAGATGCCTGTTCAGGACCTGACATCTGCTCCAGCGGAAATCGTATTTTCCAATCCTCACGAAGTACAGTCATCCCTCTTCTCCTTCATTTCTCTCATTTTTGTCACATTCCAAGTTACAACTAAATTAACCTGAAGTTTCTGATTTCTCGCAACTGAGTTTTAGGTGGATACCCCACCTACATGTGGCTGTTGCGCGAGTAACTGTAATCATATTAACCGCATCGTCGTTGGCCCTTTATATCGCCAACGATCGAATGAGACCCATGAGAACAGTCGTGAAGATCATCAGGAAAAAGGTGAGCTTAGGATATTGCTTCCGCAGCTCTGCTGCGCTAACGTAGTTGGGGAGGGGGGGGTATTCAGCCGCATGTGTATCCTGTATTCTCTCCTTAGAAAAGCTTAGGTTTTTACGGAAACCTTTGCCCTTGGCGAATCCGTCTCGGAGCGCAGACGGATTCGCGAGGGCAAATCCCACAGGAATGCAGCTGATATCCCCTTCTCTGCACTACTGAGCCCAAGCTTTGTATTAAGTTAAGCGATTATGAAGACGCTTGTTGTAATGGACCCCCTGTTGGAGATGTTCCAAACCATTACCAAGATATTAAACAGATTTATATGACTGATTTTTATATGTGTGTTATCGGTCCAGGTCGCCTTCGTCGGAGCCCTGGAAAGTCAAAGGTTAAGTGTGACCTACCGCCGAATGCAATTTCAGACGAAATAGCAGCTCACCAAAGGCGTCTAGGGAGGTCTCGTAGCTCACAAGCAGGATCCTCCTGCCCCCACCCGAACTATGTTGGCGCCGCTCCGTGTCTACTGATCTGTTTCTGTTCGTTTTCACATCTTTTCTTCATGATGTTGGTTGCTTTTTATCGCCTTGTAATGCCTCAATGTATGTAATCCCCCTGCAACAATTTTACTTTTTAATCCCCCTCCAATAATTTTATTTTTACGTCATTTTTAGACTCTAGGATGACGATATTGGTGTGGGTTTCGTCAATGCTCAGCGTAGCAATTCTCCTGCTAGCTGCAAAGCGTTACTATCGAACGCGACGGCAAGGCCAGAGTGTGAAGACGGCCTGAGGTCTTAACGGACGCTTGTTCTGCGAGCGGTGTGGCACCAGTACCATGGTCAGCGAAGGCCATTCCAAGTCAATCAGGTAGAAATTTTGAATATAAGAGATAGAAATAAGGGGTCCTTCTATCATACAGGTACCGCTTATCGTCTGGCTGCAACTCGTACCTCTTGCTCGATGCGGGGCGTCTCAGTGGACTGGGTCTGGCGTGGCGTCAGTCCGTTCTCCACCAGTTCAAGTGGGCAAGCGACAACAGTTGGTAGAAAACGGGGTTACGCCGCGCCGAACCGTGCCCCCACCCCCCCCCCTTTCTCCTGACACGTCCTAGTATCCGCAGGAACAAACTAAACACGCCAATATCCTGTAATATGATGGTCGCATATTTCCATTCGAATATAACGAAGAATGCGTTTTTCGAGATCCAAAACGGCAACATTCCAGCAAAAGTGCAGCCGTCGCCACTCTTACATGAAGTGTCAGCCACGCCCTCCCTCTCTGTGAGATACATAGGGCGCGATGAGCAGCCTACTAGCTTCAATCTTTCTAATGTTACCACAGCTGAATCCATTTCAGACACTTCCGTCGAAGAACCTCTTCTTGAGGATCACGATCCGTTTGTTGCGTCGTTGCAACTTCTAGAACGAATCGGTAGCGGACATTTCGCTGACGTCTTTCGTGCATCATCCAGTAAGCTCAGTTGTTCACTTATTCTTGGGTTTCTCAGTGTGGGTTCATATAGGTGGCTACATAGCAGGGTCTTGCCATGCACATTTTGCCGAAGTATATCCGTTTGCTGACGTAATAAGGCGCTCGTAAAGACTGCCGCGCGCGGTCGCGTGGCGGTGTCCACTTCGACTAGTTTTGGGAATTTCGGAATAACCCGTTGAAGCTGCTTAGCTTACAGATAGAACAGCCCGATTCGTCTGAATTGTGCACGACTATCGCCCACATGGTCTAAATTGTGCACGACCATCGCCCACAACTCTTCTAAACAATATTTCAGACCTAGGCGACGTGGCAGTGAAGGTGTATCATGCGGATCAGGCAACCTTTGACAACGAATTCGACAATCTGACCCTACTTCAGTCTTTGAAGCATCCAAATACGGTACAGTTGGTGAGTACGGACAAAATGAAACATTCGCTTCTTTCTGCGTTTTATTAGCTAGGAAGATCGTGTTTGGTCGGTAGAGGGAGATAGATCGTATTGCCCCTCCCAACTGCAGTTTTTTTGTGGGAAATTGGAGAAACTTTCCGAAAAAGTTTTGGACAATTCGAGAGAATTGAGGAATTTATGTAGGTGGTAGGTGGGATGAGTGGAGTGCCGTACGAGAGCAGAAAAATTTGCGGGGAGAATGGTGGTATTTTGCAAAATTTTTCACAAGCGGCAAAACGTGCTCTGGTCCCCTCCCCTACGCAGTACTTGGCTAGCTACTCTAGTAAGAGATAAGTTTCAGAAAAGTTCGTGAAGAAGCTGCAGCATCTCGTGGTGAACTACTACGTCTTCATGACAGCTTCATTTCAGATTCGTGCAGATGTCGCTACAAA